ATCAGGCACAATTTTCCCTTGGTAAAGCTCTGTTGGCTGTCACCAACCACCTGCTTGTTCTCCATGTGCCTTATAAATGCAGTCTTGTTAACTCTCTCTAATTCTGGCCCACCAGATACAGCCTCAGGATCATGCAAGAAAGCACCAGTCTTCAGGTTGGTCTGAGAAAATAAACAGATGGAGATGAATGTCTTCTGACAAGTGTTCTCCACTAAAGGGCCTGGTGCCTTTACTCATCTGCATGTCTATGGACTGGCATTTCTGGGCATGGCCTTTCCACATTATCTTGTTAATATTTCCCAATTCCTTTTCATAAACTAAAGATCTAGTGTGAAATTTAGATGGTAATTAACTCTCTCCGTTTAATAGATTACATAATGAGAACTTGTACAATGTTATTTCAGATGGCAGCAGAAATAGGATCTTTCATACTCTGCCACCAAAATATAGCTACTCTATAACATCAGCTGAACAGAGCAAGCAAGAATCAGGAAATCTTGAAACCCAGATGAATATAAGATGAATTGTATTATTTTTCATAACCAGCCTAAAAGAAGGTTTATTTCTCTGGCAATGTTTCCATCTCAAACAATGCAATCCTTTGGCTCAAGTCCAAAACAGGCGTGCCTCAAAAATCCCAGCTTCAGCCTTCAACAAGAGGTAAGAATCAATACTCTCTCTCTTCATTCATTTTCTACCACAGGAAAACACAGTTATGACCATCACTGAGGAGTGTTACCAAACTGTAAAACATAAACTCAAGAAATCACAGACTTTTTGTTTAATTCCTATGATTTTGGGAGGAGAGCACAATTCATACCTTTTGAACTGCTGAGCTAGCACTAGCAACTCTGCAAAAACACTTTATGACCAAACAATTCTTACAGAAGAACTGAGGACAAAAAAATCCCATCAAACCCAACAACGAGAAGACCACAAGACATACCTTTAGAACGGTTTGTTTCATAACCCTGTTGCATTTTAAAGGACTGACGTTCAGAACATGGAACAATCTTAGACTCCATTACAGAAAGTGTCTCTCTCGTGTGCTTGGACGGCGTGCTTTCATGTCTGTCCCCACTCAACTCCTGTGCCTTTGGGGAGAGCATCACCGGTTCTTCTCTATGTTGTAACGCACAGGTTTTTAAACATGCATTTGCCAAGTTAATTTCTCCTATGTGCCTGGCATCGTTAATATGGAGTTCATTGGCTGGTAACAATACTTTTGTTTGATTAGCTGCCGAGCTTTTGAGTAAGGTTTTAGATTCTATGCTACACGAGCTTGCGTGATTCACAGGAGAGGCACCAGCAGAATGGTCAGTACTTTCCACAATATCCGTTTCCCTCGTAGGAGCAGCAGCAGGATTAAAGAAGACCTGAGAGGTAGAGACATTGTGGCCAAAATCCTCTGCAAGCAGCACCCCAGTCCCGCTGCTGGGCAGAGCATCAACCTCTGAAACAGAATCCTCCGTCAGGGCGACAAAGTCAGAGGGGGTCTGGGCAGCCGTGAGGTCAGCCGAGAGCAGCGGGGACTGCAAGGAGCTTCCCATGCACTCGGTAGTCTCCGCCGAACACGGAGGAGAGGACTTGGTGATCACAGGTTCACTTTCCACGTATGATTTATCCTCCAGCAAGCACCCAGACTGCTGCACTGAGGAAACTGACTGACTCTCCGGAACTGGTTTGGAAAATTTGTAGTGCGATGAGAAAGATTTCGGGAGAAGTTTTCGCGTGGATTGCTTGACAGAGTATCGGCTCTGATCCTCTGCAAAGCCTGAATCATCACCCTCATTCTTCCCAGAGCTGATGCAATTTATAAAGACATTCTTATTAGCTGAGGGCTCCTTTCCCTTTTCAAAATCATCTGTCAAAGACCTTGTTATCTTCTTGCTACGTGAGCTGCCAAAGCTAACTGAATGCCTTCCTCTGCTTTTAATGTGTTCCTCTAAGCTCAGTTTTTGAAAAGTGCTGAGAGAGGACTGGGCACCATTTGAGATGTTAACATTTTGACTAGCCGCATCAGGCTTCTGCTCACTCCCTTTCCTGTTATGGAAGCTAATGGAAGGAGTGCGGAAAATACTCCGGCGCTTGCCTGTGCTCCCTGAGCTGGAGTTGGTGCTGGAGGGCGAGGAAGTGTGGACACCAATGGCATTAGCAGAAGAAGGCGAGGAAGGAAGGGAGTCGTGTCTCCGGCTAATACTTCTCCTGAATATTGGTAACCGAGATACTAGAGTCGATCGTCTGGATCCTGAGTCCCCCATCAGGACACGAAGTCTCCGTGGCTCTTCACAGCCAATAACCTAATCTGGGATGAAGGAGAAAAAAAAAAAAAATGATAAATGATTCAGTCTCAAAGCTCACTTGAACAGGCTTTAGGTCAGCTAAAATACATGAGATGCCAACATCAATTTTTCACACATCTGCAAGTTTTTGCATATGCATTACTGAAGATTTTTAGAATTTGAAAGTGATGTTCAACAGACAGCACTGAAAACCCAGCAGCTGAGCAAAGATGTGGCTCAAAACATTCCGCAAATGAGAGCTACAGCGTTATATATGATATACTACACAATGCAGAGCACACTGGGTAACAGTATAAAATCTATGTGCCAAAAGATAGACAACCATATCACCCCAGTATCCTTGTTTCTCCCAGTTCTTGGGACAAGTCTTCTTATAAACTTTAAGCTCTCTTAGAAGACACTTCAATTTTCATGATCTGGGTAGAACAAATAAATGTTCAGAAAGTGTTCCTAAATACTCAGATTTTTGCAAGAAAGGATTTGCAAGAGGATTTAAATTTTCCAATCTTCACTGAACCTTCAGGTGGATTTTTAATCCTTTATGTGCTCCTGCTAAAGACTGTATCTATCACCTCACAGCAGAGAAGACACTGGCATCACAGCCAAGCTAAAATATGCATCACCAAAAATTCTTCTGAAGAACCTGCAAGTTCTAAAAATTTACTGTCAAAATATGTGACCATGTTTCTAGATTTTAACTTTAATGTTTCCTCTGAATACTTCTCTGAAATCCTCTTGTAGCCTAGTTGCTTATAATTAGCTATTTTTGCAATTTTTTGAAATTAGTGAAAAGTGTTTCATACACAGACACTTGGCATTTTTTATAAATATTTAAGCAGTAAAAACTTATTTTGATCAGCGCAGCAGATGCAGTAGAAGAAAATTCATCTTTATGAAATATATACCAGTCCTAGCTGTTTTTTGTTCTCATTATAATAAACTACCACAGTGAGAGAGGGGACCACAGAGGGAGCAATAAAAACATGTGATATATAATCACAAGAACAAGAAAGGCTGTAGGTTTAATGGCCGACTGCAACTTTGTGAGCTGCAGTTGTTCAGCACACAGAAATAAAAATCTAAACAATGTTGGTACATCAAGTGCAAAACCAAATTCATTCATCTAATAAGCAATTCAATATGCATTATGCAGCTACAACAAATATCTGTGAACAATCTATTTATAGAGTATATATACACACATATAAAAATAAAAATGAGAACAGAATATTTAAGTAGTAATAAAACTACATATATATTACTGTGAAACAGAGGGTAACAAGTAAGTTCAGAGACTACTTCTGACTAGATATTCAACTGTACCTTCTGCGTTAACACTGATTTTTTTAAAAAGCTGGTACAGCTCCAGTCTGAACATGCATTGCCAAGCAGCCACAATATTCACAAGCACCAGGAATCAATAAGCAATTTTTCAGTTTAAGATGAGAGAAACAGCAGGGGAACAGTCACTAATTCCTCCAAGTCATTGGTGATCTCTGATGACAAGCTAAAACCCAACCTAGACAATGCCCAGGTCCTGAGATTAAAACCTAAATTTGAATTCAGCCTGATTGGGGCAGAACTGATGGGACAGGCACACACACAGGTTATCAGAATAACTTTACATCCACCAAACCAACTGATGCGCAGCTGGCTGTCCCATTTCACAGCCACGTAAGGTAGTTTGCATTTACATCACTGTACGAGCAAAAACAGAGGCACCAGCACAGAGAAGCGGAGGCCTCGTGAACCCACACAGGGGCTGACGTTACACCAGCTTGTCCAGCTGTCCACAATCCAGCCTACTGAAAATGGGCTTTGAAAGCCCCTCTCCACCCTCCCCGTACTAACCGCTCTCCTTTCTTTAACCACTTCCAGACCTATTGTGTTGGGAGTTTTTTTGCTTATGTGAACATGTCCTTGCAGGCACGCTGATATGTATGGATATGCACATACATACAACACAAGATTGTTTAGAGATTGTGAGGGTTCTTCCTTGTATTTTAAGGAGACGTCATAACTGCTGAAAAATACTTTAGAACACCGTTTTACAACCGCAGTAGATGAGCAAAATATTTTTAAAATACATTAAATTGCTAGAGGCATTTTATGCTCAGACAAAACATTTGCTCCCATCATTCTCTCTCCTGCCCATACCTTAATTGTCAGTTCACTGGAGAACAAAACATCCTGGTTTAAAATTATTAAATTCTCTGAGCTGAGAGCAGAAGGAAGCAGAAAACTAAACAGAAAACACATACTGTAACTTTTGCTAGAAATACCAAGGTTGTGTCTAAACAATAACACAGATCATTCCTATTATTCCTAACAACCGCCCTGTGAATATACAGAGTTAGCTTTCCAGGTGGTAACAATTTTTAATAGAATACATTGCCTCTAACTGCAGATAACAAAATGACATTTATTCATTCATTCTTCCTTCCTTGCCTCTTGAAGGAAGCACACAAATAAACTGTCAACATTTCTGTTATTGCCCAAGCAGCAGAAATCCTCTCCCATAAAATATGAATTATAATATACTGCTCTTTCTGGTCTCCAAAAGCTACCAGAGGACATTTCTCATAACACACACATCCATGTACACACACATGTATATATGCATATATGAATGCTTATGCGCATACAGAGTTTACATACATTGAATAATGTGGATATTTTATTAATATTTTGAATATTATTTGCATATGCTGTTATTCTTTTTACATATATTTTTTTTTTCAGTGTAAAAGTGCAAAAGTTTAGCACTGAGTTCATCTGACAATTCTACCTGCAACACAGGAAAAAATAATACGTATTTCAAGATACTAATAACATCAGATATGAAATAAAGTCTCTCATTTTTTCGCTTATTGCAGAGGAGTTGTAAACTTCTCTGTGTGTCCTCTTATGAACAAAATAGGAGACATTTCCTTTCAGTCTCCACATTTAACTCGTCCTTACCACTTTACAGCAGTAACCCTTACGAAGTGAAATTCACTCCAGCTACACATTCTCTACGAAACCACTGATTTTCTGTATCTGACATCCTCATCCCTACCAGCATCATTCTTAAAATCTGCAACAGAGGCAAAAGCAAACAGCAGAGAAAGACACCTTTGCAACGGTATCATGCCATCCCAGATGACTCAAATTTAAACTGGACAATTCCGATCGTATACAGTCAAGCTATGACCTAATACAAAGCTCCATGCATCTTAAAAGAAATTACTGGGCTTTTAGAATACTAGCAAGAAGTCAAGGAAAGAAGAAGGATCAAGGAAAAGTGAGTATACACTAAGGTTTTCAATTAGATCAGACTCCTTGTTCAGGACAAAACATCATTATCAAATAACCTGAACAGTCAAAAAACAGTCTACACAGCATTCCGCACAGAGGTCTGTATCTTGGTCAAATACACAAACCATTACTTTGCAACACTTTTTAACTCTAAAATCCAGTTACTGGGGACAATGAAGTGTTTACTCCGTGTTGCTGTAGACAGACATTCAAATTTTGCTTCTTATCAAATGGATTTTCGATGCACATTTTTACACCTGTTATTACACAAGGCAAAGTTTCATAAACTGAAGGAAAATAAGTATTTTCAAAACATTTAGTTGCAGCCAGAGTAATGGTGGATTATTTCAGGATCTGTTCTTCCTCGAGAGCTTGGGTACAGCTCACAGTTTCTGAGTGCCTGTGCTGAAGCCAATGCAAATGAGAAACAGGCAAAGTGCAAACAAAACATTCTCCCTTTTTAGCAATTTTCAAAGTTTATCAAATGGAATCATCTCCTTTCATATTGGTCTGCACCAAGATGTTGCAAAATGCAATTTAATCTCAAAAATATCTTAAAGTATTTAACTGCCAGAGAAAACAAAAAGGCCAAGTTTTTTATACTCGGGGCTTACTTTTTTCACACAGGAGATCTTTGGAGGAACCATCCAACTATACAACATCAGGACTTGATCTTGCCTACAGCAGTAGCATGAGTATAAAACACAAACGCACAGACTAATAATTATACAACAAGCTCTGTACTTTACATATTACTCTATCTTGTCAAAAGAAGCAAATTGCTCAACTTTCAGACAGCCAACAGCATGGAAAAAAAAAATAAAAGGGAAGTGTTAAAACGGGAAAAATCATCAAAATGTTACACCAGTGTCTCCAGAAAAATCTACTCCACCAATTCAACAGCTGAAAAATAGAACCCAGTATTTTTTATTCCAGCTTCCACCAGGCAGTTACTCACACAAGTGTCTCAGAGGGCAGTGGATTCGATAAAGAGCAACTCTTGCTGGAGGTTTTGAATTCCAGTAGATGGAGCCGTGGATCTAATGTTTCATTGACTGCAAGTGTGAAAAAGCAACAATCGGTGCCTTTTAGATTTCTCATTGCCTCTGAGGCAAAATTTAGGACTTGAAATTATTTGTGAATTTTACCATTATCATCATTACATGTACATACCAAAAGCTAGTACATTCAACGGGGAATTGTAGTGTGTAGGCAAGTACAAACACTCCTTTTACAAACAACCAACCCGCTACCATCTCGCAACACTTCTTAAACAAAGCTTTCGTAAAGATGTTCTCCTGAAAGATGCACCTCCTAGGAATACAAAATAACATAGTTTAAGGAAGACGACACATTTTATTTAAGGCTTTGGATCAGAAATCCTAAAATAAAGCAAAACACACAGGACTAACATGTGAACCTCAAATTGTAAACGTACCCTGTCCTTCACACGAGCACTGCGATGGGGCAGGAGGCAAGGACCACATGACAGACACAGTCTCTATAGACTAGCTGGCTCCAGACTTACACAGAAATTAAACCTACTCCACGATACTACAACTACCCACAGAAACACATGAAAATAAATATTTTTAATTGTTGGTGAGCCAACACAAGTCCTAATGTAGCTGATGCACTTGTACAGAGCGGTCCTTTAGTCC